GAAAGAAAAAGAGCACAAAAATCCACTTATACTATTTTAATTAAATCCACTACAAAATGAACCTGACCTCCTTTTGGGTGTTAGGTACTAATTACCGCAATCTCGTGTTTTGGCAACGAGCTTAGAAAGGTGATGGCACCGCTGGTGTGGACATCTTCAGTGACATTTCCTGGATCACCATATGGCTCTCCCTTTTTCAGGATGAGCATGAATTTTTTCAAATTAGTGCAGGCCACCTGTAAACACAATGTTTCAATTCCAATTAAGTCTCTTTATTTTCACTATAGCCATACAGTAGACACACACACACACAATGAAATGTTCTCTTCTGCTTTCTGCTGTGGAAAACCCCTGAAACGAGTGGGTGTATGTGTGTGTATGTGTTGTACCTTGGGAACGAAACAGTAGATGATACCGTGCGCGTTATCGACTATTAGGTGGTGATACTTGTTGTAGCCAATTTCTTTTTCTAAAAGAGCTTCTTTGTCACCATGACACACTTCTCTTATCAGCTGCTTTCTCTCCTCCTGAACCAAATCCATCCTCATTTCTGGAAGAAAAAGGATATATCTTTTTACTATCAATTGATAGCATTGCTGGTAGAAAAAAATAAAAAATGATTTCAAAATAAGTTTACAAATCTACTTCACGTCTTATTTACCCAATGCAACAGAAATATGAATTGTAAGTCAACTTATATATAGGAATAGCACACTTTACCTCTCAGCCTTTGCGGCGTGTCCCATTGATACAAGTAAAACATTGTGAGAAAACTGGAAATGAAAAGTCCATATGACAGCACAGACAGACGTGGGGCTGCCATGGCAAAAAGATGCACAATGTCCTGATTTATGGTAATAGAAGTAAATATTATAAATAATAAAATAATCACACAGTTTTATTAGATTAAAAAAAATAAGAATGTGTTTCCTCTTCCATTTACTTCCATAGTACAAAGAATTTCTTGTTTATTCCCTTACCTTGCGTCCAAGTCTTTTGAAGCACAGATTGCGACAGTGAAGTTCAGTTCAAACACCTGTTGTTTGAATGCAACAGAGGTTTTTTAATCCATGACTGATAATTGATGTTGACCGATGAAGACAAGAGAAACAAGAATTTATTTGGAGAGGTGTATCAGTCAATATTGACTCCAGACCCAGTATGATGGTGCCTAACTTTGTCCTGGGTGTTAGGTACTAATTACCGCAATCTCGTGTTTTGGCAACGAGCTTAGAAAGGTGATGGCACCGCTGGTGTGGACATCTTCAGTGACATTTCCTGGATCACCATATGGCTCTCCCTTTTTCAGGATGAGCATGAATTTTTTCAAATTAGTGCAGGCCACCTGTAAACACAATGTTTCAATTCCAATTAAGTCTCTTTATTTTCACTATAGCCATACAGTAGACACACACACACACAATGAAATGTTCTCTTCTGCTTTCTGCTGTGGAAAACCCCTGAAACGAGTGGGTGTATGTGTGTGTATGTGTTGTACCTTGGGAACGAAACAGTAGATGATACCGTGCGCGTTATCGACTATTAGGTGGTGATACTTGTTGTAGCCAATTTCTTTTTCTAAAAGAGCTTCTTTGTCACCATGACACACTTCTCTTATCAGCTGCTTTCTCTCCTCCTGAACCAAATCCATCCTCATTTCTGGAAGAAAAAGGATATATCTTTTTACTATCAATTGATAGCATTGCTGGTAGAAAAAAATAAAAAATGATTTCAAAATAAGTTTACAAATCTACTTCACGTCTTATTTACCCAATGCAACAGAAATATGAATTGTAAGTCAACTTATATATAGGAATAGCACACTTTACCTCTCAGCCTTTGCGGCGTGTCCCATTGATACAAGTAAAACATTGTGAGAAAACTGGAAATGAAAAGTCCATATGACAGCACAGACAGACGTGGGGCTGCCATGGCAAAAAGATGCACAATGTCCTGATTTATGGTAATAGAAGTAAATATTATAAATAATAAAATAATCACACAGTTTTATTAGATTAAAAAAAATAAGAATGTGTTTCCTCTTCCATTTACTTCCATAGTACAAAGAATTTCTTGTTTATTCCCTTACCTTGCGTCCAAGTCTTTTGAAGCACAGATTGCGACAGTGAAGTTCAGTTCAAACACCTGTTGTTTGAATGCAACAGAGGTTTTTTAATCCATGACTGATAATTGATGTTGACCGATGAAGACAAGAGAAACAAGAATTTATTTGGAGAGGTGTATCAGTCAATATTGACTCCAGACCCAGTATGATGGTGCCTAACTTTGTCCGATTCTGGTTAAAACCTTAACGTCATGTTTGGAGGTTGGTGAATGCTACAGGATGTGGGGATGTTGTTGTTTCATTCCGTCCTCCTAGTGGAGGAGTGTCAAACTCATTTTCACCGGGGGCCACATCATCAATTCAGTTCCCCTTAAAGGGCCAGTTGTAACTGGAAGATTGCATAGATCAGTGGTCTCCAACCCCTGTCCGCGGACCAGTACCAGTCCATAGGTCATTTGGTACCGTGCAACAGTGGGACACATTGAAAAAATGTGCTTAATTTTTAATAATTTACTTCATTCAAACTAATCCTGTCATATCCATTTACTTTCTTTATTTAAAGATAATCTGACAATATTTTAAAATAATATGTCAGTCATTCAGACACAAACAGAATAGAGTCTAAAAGAGTTCTCAGGTTATGAAACTCTGCTGCATGGACTTTACTAAATGCTATTTAAGCTCCCGCGGGCCACACAAAAGGGCTTGGCGGGCCACATTTAGCCCCCGGGCCTTGAGTTTGACCTGTATGTCCTAGTGTGTCCACTCATGCGTAAGACAAGCTAGGCTAGCTAGCGCCCTCCTGTGATGGGACTGCCATGCTGCAGCATTGTGGTGAGACACCACACCAAGTGTGAGGAGCTTAACGAATATCATTTAAAAGTGTTCTCAGCTTTTTTAAAACATCTTCATCATTTGTCCTAAGTGATCTCTACAAACTGCTGAATTACTGTCCTGCCACTTGTCCTTCCAGAATTCAGTACAACGTGGCAGCCAATGGGGAGTGCCACTGCACACAATCCCCACACTTCTTTCGTTTCTTCTCTGTAGTGTTCAATTCCCAAGTGCCGCATCAATATGTTTCTTCCTTAATCTTAAAGTCTTCTTTCTGCAAATACACTATATGTTGTAATATCAAACAGTGGCCGAACAGAACATCACATGGACATCTTTATCTGAGGGTTAGTCCTGTTATACTACTATTAGAAGGAGTTGCTGTTTGATGTGCGCACAGAAACAAACAAGACCTTACAGCGTAATGCAGCAGTCAATATTGAATCAGAGACACAATAGGACCAAAGAAAGTCCTGTTCCACTTATACATATCCTGTTTGTGATGCACTGTCACCAGAAAAAATGTGTGGCTTCTCTACTTGGTTACCATTGCTGTTGGATTCTGTATGTGTTATTACAAGGTTTAGGTTAAGGTTTAGTTTCACTTCTTCTCTGCAGAGATTAAACACTTGGTACCTTTTTCCTGTCTTGTTCTTGTGACTTTCCGCAAACATATCAAGGAACTTCCCCAACAGCATTTTGTCTTCATACAACACAGAAGTTTTCTAAAGAAGATAAACGGACTACAAAAATATCAGAGCAACAGTAAATTTGATTTATATTGTAAAGAGTCAGTTGGTGATTGCCTTTGCCATAGATGTACCAGGGAGTAGGACCCAATGTGGCCAATGTGGCCAAGAAGTTTGCCCAGCCCTGTTTTTATGTATGTGTAGCTTTTTGATGTGTCAGTTGTCATTGGCATGCCCTGATGCTCCTGTTGCACTGTTGCCAGGGCTTCTGCTGTGGCTGTTATCGTAAGACTACCGTATAGAGTTTCCCTTGTCTTCACTAATATGGAAATGTCTTCACCTGCACCTGTCACCATCTAAAGTTGTAGGGAATGAATGACTAAAGGAAAGACTGAGCAGTTTGCAGTAATGTGCCATTGGTTTCCACAGATGCAGTTTTAAACTTGTCTTTAATATGTGCTCTTTTGCTCTACAATTTACTCGCTGTGGCAGCGTCAGTACAACAAAATGTCAGAGAACAGAACGGTGGATACAGATTCTTCGGACTAATTCACCTTAGATACTGGGAAACCCATCTGCCTCGTGTATATAATGCAACGTTTAGTGCTTGAATAATGCGTCATACTGCACCACCCTGTGGCTCATAATGGAATTAGACCTGCAAGAACAGCCGTTAGGAATTTTTATAGGCATCTGCTGCCACCCAGTGAATAGCCAATGTTTAGGTTAGCAAATGCACAGCTGGCATATTCTGTGTCGATAAATACAATTATTTTAAATATTTGACACACACAGTTTGTGACTTGATATGAACGTTGCTCAAATAGAATGAAAAAAAAAGGACTTGGTTTCTTCTCATTCTTTCAGCAGTTCATCTGGCATTCTGTATCCAAAAACTTTGAAGTCCGATTCATAGAGTTTGTACAGTTTTATCCTGTCCTTTAGAGGCACTGTTTGAAAAAAGCTTTCCACAGAATCGGTGAATGTCAGGTTGTGATACGAAGAGGGGATTTGTATGTTGCTGGGAACCTTAAGTATATTTAGCAGATGTTCCACATCCTCTTGTAGGGTCTCTTGATGACCAATGAAGTCATACCTAAGAATTACAGGAACATGGTCAACCTGTGAAACTTGTCAAAAACATGTCAAAAGCTTAGACACCAGGGGTCTTACTGTATGAGGCAGGGGTGACACAAGCGGTGCATCTGTCTCCAGTGAGGTTCAAAGGGCACTCTCTTTTCAGTCAGTGGGTCCACCAGGTATTGGATAAAGTTGTAAAATGTGATATGAATGCCTAATGCAAAGGCCTGGTCCATTGTCCTTGGTAGACGTGTTACATTACCATAGAGACGGAGAATATTTTGCCCATGTGTTTTATAAAAGGGCTCATTTTGTCTCCCAAATTTGTCTCGGTAGGCAGAGATAAGACGAACAAAGGGATCTCTGACAAACATGAACTTTGTGTAGTGCTTCAGCTTGGCCTTAATTCAGAAGAAATTTCAGGTTATTGAAGTGATCATTGACTGACGTATCCAGAAACAAATGTGAGTGTCTTATGAATGATTGACCTTGATCTCAGTTCTTGAGAACATACTCAGAAGAGGAAGTTTGTTATGGATGTATCCAGTTATCTGTCTAGGGTCATCGAATGGCTCACCCTTTCCTAGGATGAACATGAGTCTTTTCAAGTTGCTACTTGCCACCTGTACATAGAACAACAGCAAGAATTAACAACCATTAAGGTTTAAGTCATGCATTTGTCACTTTGTCAATATAGTGCAAACAAGTGCTGTCTTTTAACAAACAAACAAACAAAAACAGGGACTCTACTAATAATGGATTCATATTAAGGGGTTGAGAACAGAAATCCCAGGAATCTGATATGTTCTGTTATGTTGTCTTTCTGACACGCTGTGGTATGCAACTGTTGCTGTATTTATTTAGTGAATTCACAGTGGTTTGTCATATGACGTATAACAAAGAAAAAAAAAAGAAAAACTAGGCACATGTTTAAAATAGTTTAAATATCAATTGTGCACTTATTATGGAGTTATGGTTGTCTTGGTTTAGTTTATGACAGAAATAACACTTAACTTTGTACAGATGCTCTACAAACATTACCAAGTAAAACCTGTGGTTTTTCCCAGAGTTGGTCTGTGCTCTGGATTTGTAGTTTATGATATATTTCTACCTAAAAGGTAGCCGAATAAATAGGCAGGTTAGAGTTCAACGGACCTGGACAGTTTTTTTTTGTGGTTATACAGCAGCTGGCCTCAGTCACAGGGCAACGATGCTGTTAAAGTCACTTGATCGCACAAAAAAGTCGCTTGAACACACACAAAATAAGGGATCAGTGTTTATGTGTTAAACAGGTATCTGTATGCTCGCAGGTGCATGCTAGTGCTAGAAAGCTATCAGAAAAAAAGAGGCGCAGCCGAGCAATGTGAGCCAGTTTCCAAACAAGCTGTGAAACAAGTTGTTTTACAGGCAGTCCTCTGTTGTCTTTGTGGTTTCAGTTAACAATCACAGTGACTAGTATCGTTTTTCAAGGGGGGGGGGGTTATGGCCTAATTTGGTTCTTGACACAAACCTTATTCGGGGAGCAGGTTGACACGATGGCTGTATTGGTATCAACGAGAAAATATCATTGATTTAGTTGATCTCATGTCAACAAGTTCCCTTACAGGACTTTAAGTCTACTGCGATTAAGTTGATTTATTTTGTGGTACTGTATTTCATTTCCCTCAGTGTTTGTGTGTGAGAAAATGGAAACAATCAAGAAGGAAGTAGAAACGAACACGTGTGTGTGTGTGTGTGTTTGTGTGTGTGTGTGTGTGTGTTTGTGTGTGTTACCTTGGGAATGGAACAGTAGATCAGTCCGTGGGCATCGTCGACAATAAAGTTTTGGAGCATGCTGCTCCTCAAATATTCTAAATGTAACTTTTTTTCATTCTCACAAAAGTCTCTCATCACTTGCTTCCTCTCCTCTTGTACCTGGAGCATCTTTTTTGCTGCAGTGGAAAAAAGAGGAATGCTATAATTCTTCGCAGTTACTAAGTTGCTGTAGCAAATGTTTAAGTCATAACATAGGGGTCTTCCACCAGGGCTACAAGCCATACACAGGTCGTTGGTATATACAGAGAATATAGGGAATGTAAATGCATGTACAGTAACACACACATGTCCACAAAAACACACTATACCTCTTAGTTGTTGAGAAATGTCCCACCCGTAATATGGCAACATGATGAGAATACTGCTTATTAGCAGTCCATAAGACAGCAATCTCAGAAGTCCTCTGCATAGTGCCATGGAAGTTGGAGTTATGTGTTCTCAGTTTATACTATCGTCAAAGAAAACACAGGTTTGAAAGAACGCTACAATTTCTTTAAAATGTGTATTTAGATATGTAAACTTATATATATAAATACGTGTGTGTGTGTACAGTATGTGTGTGTGTGCTCAAACATATATACACACAGGTATGTATGTGTATAATCACACCAGGAACAAAGAGCGTAAAACAACAACAAGTGAATGAAGAAACAAAGAGACCAGCGACTAAATAACCTCATTATTTAATAAATGAACGACCAAGTGTCTTACCTTTTTGGACTAATATCATGATTATTCCGCTGAGTCCATTGAACACTGTCGAAGGGTTTTGACTGTGGACATAATGTAGCTTTAATTGCACTCAGCCCTACTGCTTCACCTTCAAAATATGTTGATAGACCGGAGAGATTACTGTGGCAATGTGGTAAAACTGGCTGGTTGTCTGGGTGACAGAGACACACTGGTCCAACTGCCCCATGACTGTCCCCTTGATGTGGTTAATAGCTTTTGATAGCTCTTTCAGGGGACAGGGGTGAAAGAAGCATTTTGTGATCTTTAAAATGACTGGGGAAACAGTATTATGGTGTAACAACAATAACAGATGACGCCAGGGGCGCCGACTGTATGGTGAGTTTGTATAGCTTTGCAACATTGTCTTCTTATACCTGGTGAACATATGGTCAAAGTGCCATTAAATAGCCAACCTTATGCTTCAATTCTAATGATGGGGGTTCAAAAGCCTTATTATATATATGAATTTTTGTATTCATAACTTTTGTCCATAGGTTGCGATTTTCTTTATTTGTTTAGAAAATGTACATCAAAATGTATTAAAGAAAAGATTTGTTAAACAAATATTTGAAAATCTAAAGTTACAATCATCAATCTGTTGAGAGCTCATCTGGTTTTCTGTAGCCAAAAAGCATAAAGTCTTTCTCATAGAGCTTGTAGAGTTTCCTCCTGTCCTTTAGAGGCACTGTTCTGAACCAGCTCTGCACAGAGTCAAGGGACGTCACGTTGTCATAAGAAGGCGGGACCTTGAGGTCATCCTGCAGCTTCAAGACCTGGAGCAGACATTGAACGTCCTCCTGCAGAGTCTCCTGATGTCCAATGAAATCATACCTGAGGAGCATAGTGGAAGCTAGTGTCATACTCCATAAGAAACAAAAAAGCTTTTTGCACATTTGAGGCAGTTGTTTCTCAATTATTTTCTGTCCCCCCCACACCCACTTGGGGCAGAAATGTTTTCACGCCCCTCCACCTGACCCCCCACAACCTTCCGAACCACACCCCTGCAAATACTATTGAGAACCTGATAACATGTATATTTTTTATCTGTACAAACCACTGTTTGAGTTGCTGCCACCTAGTGACTGGAGGCTTCTTATCAATCAAGCATTATAGCAGTGGTACACTTATGTCCAGTGTGCTACATTCCACTGGACACCCCACATGCGCCACACGCCTCCCCGGCACCTCACCGCGCCCCGCCCCAGGGGTTACGCCACACTATTTGAGAAGTACTGATTTAAGGCATTGTATGTGATCTTACTCTATTTGACAAGGGTGACACAAGCGGTACATCTGTCTCCAGTGTGGTTCAAATGGCTGTTTCTTTTCCGTCCGTGAGTCCAAGAGGTATTTAATGAAGTTGTGAAAGGAGATGTTCAGTCCTAATCTTATGGCATCATTCAAATGTTTCGGCGGAAAAGGAGAGTTGCCAAATAGATGCAAGATGATGCGCCCATACAAGGTGTAGAAGTGCTCATCAAGTCTCTCAAATTTGTCTCTGTAGGCAGAAATGAGACGAACAAATGGGTCTCGGACAAACAGGAATTTGGTGTAGTGCTTCAGCTTGGCCTGTTTTTGACAAGACAAAGAAACAAATATTCAAATTTTTTTTATTATTATTATTATTTTTCAAAATCCATCCGTAATAAGCGTGCCATGAGGAGTGTCAGGTTTTACCACTGAAAACTACTGAACTTCATTTGCTTTGAAACTTATTTACTGCAGATAATTAGAGCTTTTTCAGCCCTGCACCCATTTACCACAGCCTTCCATTTTTAAGCATGACTGCCATGACTAGTTAAAGAGAGCCAGAGCTGTCATTGAAGACTTTTGTACGTATCTTTTTCAGTTCCTGCAAGTATATCAGCTTTGTGTTCATCTCAACAGGCTCAGGGTTTATATTAAGTGGTAAATCTTAGAAAATTGTGAAATATGTGCAGTGGCTTAAGGGAAAACTGATGTATAAGGACCTGTGAAATGACTTTGTGTACGGACCTGGATCTCATTTTTGGAGAATGTGGTCAGTCGGGGAAGCTTGTTGTGGACATTTATACTTATATTTGCTGGATCTTCATAAGGCTCACCATTTTTCAACACTAGCATGATTCTCTTCAAGTTGGTGCAGGCCACCTGGAGATGAAAACAAGACCCAGAGTATATAAAGTTAAAAAGGGGGATGGAGGGATGGAGCTTTTCAAGCAGGACAGCACAGCTTATTAATTTTAATTTCAATATTAGATAGATAGATAGATAGATAGATAGATAGATAGATGGATGGATAGATGGATGGATAGATGGATGGATGGATGGATGGATGGATGGATAGATAGATAGATAGATAGATAGATAGATAGATAGATAGATAGATAGATAGATAGATAGATAGATAGATAGATAGATAGATAGACAGATAGACAGACAGACAGATAGATAAGAATGTAGGTATTTGTTGAAATTCTTTGTGTGTGTGTGTTTTCTGACCTTGGGAACATAACAGTAGATTAGACCATGCATGTCATCCACCAGGAGGTGGTGATAAGGCTTGTCATCCATGATGTATTGCTTATAAAAGTTGATTTTGTCACCATCACAAACTTCTTTTATCCTTTGCTTTCTCTCCTCCTGTACTTGAAATATTCTTTTTTCTGTGTAGAAAAACAAGGCAAAGTGTAACAAAAGTGTTTTAGATAACTATTTAGTTATTATAATGCAGAGTGCATTTTGATTTGATTTTTCAGAAAACAGCATATTTTTTCTTTAAATCCATCTCAGGCAGAGCTGGTAAATTTTGTACATCAAACTTATACAGACAACAACATAATTTAAATTATACCATATATTACTAATATATATATATATAACTAAAATATTAATGTTGATTAAATTCCTTATTTTTGTGACCCATACAATATTGAGCAAGCTCCTATTATATAAAGGAAAAACGGTTCACATCCCTCAACACAACTAATGTTTAGAGCTTTTTACAGCCTGACAGTATGACAGTTATAATAAATTGCTACACTTAACTCACGAAGGAAGGATCTCTCATTTTTTGTCAAACTTTTCTGTTTTTACAGCTAATGGTTACTGAATTTAAACTCTTTCAAATCATTTGGGTTTCAATTATGATCAAATATGAATAAAAAAAATATGTAGAATTTACCTTTCAGTTCCTTCGAAATGTTCTGCCCATAGCGATGCAACATCATTAGAAATGTGGTCATAAGAAGTCCATAAAACATCAGCTGTCCTCTGAGTCCTCTGAGTCCTCTGCAGGTTGCCATGCCAGCTGGATTTAAATTGGGTTAGTGTAGATAAATAAAAGATACAAAACAAACAAAACAAACAGCTCTCATGCCCGGAGTATGGGTCTCAACAAAGTTACAGCTTGCTAAAATGCTGCATATATAAATATAGAATTCAAATGTACTGTATGTAAATTAGCTCCTTTGCATTGTAATAAAACACATCCAGATCATAGCTGGTACCAATGTCTAGTTCCTGCTCCTCTAAGGCTTAACAGTAATAGACCATCAGTCTTAGTCTCCACAGTCCTGCCCTAGTTCAAGACATTCATTTACTTCAGTTTTAAAATGTTCAAATAAGGCTATTTTTCCTCTTTCTGTATTTTTTCTTTTTTGTCTATGGAAAATGTCAATGATGTTCTATATTTTGGCATTTAAAGCTCAGGCCAAATAATTAGCTAATCACAAACAACGAGTGAGCAAATGACTAAACTTACAACAAGTAACTTATCTGTTCCTGGATACATTTGAATGGTCTTGCTCCAGTGTTCACCGAAGTTGTTTAACTGTTGGCAGGTAGGAACTGACGTTTAAATTGAGCCCTGTAACGCCGGTCTCGGCACTAAGTTCAAAGACATGCAGAAAAACTGGATAGGCGGTGAAGAGCAGCCTGTCAAAGGCGTGGTTGTTAAAAAAAAAATCAAATCAAAGTCTAACGTTCAAGCATTATAGCTTGATCAGGATCTACCAGCACTCCCTTTGGGATCTACTGGTAGATCCCGATGTACTTTTTGGGCAGACCTGGATTAAACGTTCCTCCAGTCCTCCTGATGTCACACCAGTTATCAGTCATTTATCGTCTGCATCTTTGAGGAACAGACACAATTTACAAACATCACAGTAACAATACAATGAAATGAGTTTAATGTCTGCAAGCAGCACGTTTATATGTATGAAGAAAAAACATAACAAAACATGTAGAATCTGTTACCTTCCCTAAACAGGAAATAAGTAGAATCTGTTACCTTCCCTAAACAGGTATTAAAGATACAAGGAAATAGAGTTAGGTTCGATTGGGTTTCATACTGGAAGGAACCTCAATTTGTCCTCATGAACATAACACGCCCATTCTTGTAAAGTAATTTGTAATGCTAAAAATACAAACATTGTAACCACGTTGTCTACCCCTTTGTTACACTTTGATTACAGAATTACAGGCTTGTCAAGATGCACATGTTTTGTTTTGTTTTTACAAATATGAACATGTTTCCCCCTCTTCAATCCAATTGTACATAAAAACTGATAAAAATAACTCAAAACAAAGTGACAAAATATAAATAAGGTAACCTGTTGGGCCATGTCGGTATGTTTTAAAATGCACTTGTTTTGGCAGATTTGTCTATAGTCACCTAAAAAATAAAACCAAAATGAATGTGTATGAAAATATTTTATTTGTGTTTACACTGAATGGAAATTTATTGATTATGTGCAAAAGAACTGCTTGTGCTACACAGAGTTGTTTTTCTTACGTAACTTCACCTGCAGGCTTGCCTACGTGTGTGTAGGCATGAAGAATGTGCTTGTTTATTTCTCAGGGAACGTGTGATTTTAACCAGACGTGACGTACTTGTCCTTCTTACCAGGTTTGGACAAGGATGATTGATCGATCTTCCTTATCTAGCTGAAGTCTTGAAGTCTAACACCTGTATCCTTTGTTTGAACCAAAACTTAACAGCTGTATGACGTAACCATGTGACCACATAAAAGAAAGCTTGCCTAACAGGAGGCCAGTCGAGTCTAACAGCTGTATTAGACGGAGTTAGGGTCGGCTCTCTCTTGATCAAGATACTTAGAATAAATCCATCAAAGGCAACCTCTGTTGACTCTTCATTTCTTCAAATCATATAAACATTTCTACAACATGAACAACGTTGTTCACTTTTAGGAGTTTTTATTGAGAGTTTTATTGAACATTTTTGTTGACGCTTCGAGGCACAGGTCTCACAGAGAGCAACACAAGCACTTGTCTGTACGTGAGTGCAAGTAACATGGTGAGCTGGGTGCATATGTGTGTCTGTACAGGAAATGTGAGTGGGGGCCAGTTACCCTCAGAGCTGTTTCCAGCTAGTACCTGTGAGATTATCTGGCCAACAGAAACTCAGAAACAGGGAGTATGTCCATGCAATTGTCAAGGTCTTACAGAAAACAGAGAACAGATAATGAGCGACGTCTCCCATTAAAGGAAAGGTCAGGCACACGAGGTCAGGCTGGTCGTTACAGTGTTTTTCCACAAGCTATGTGAGCTTCAGTACAAGTCAAATGGTGGATAATAATATAGAATAGATACCAAAGATGTTGCTGAGTTATGCACAGTTCCAATTGGTCTGGAGAATTGTTCTGGAGAATGTCAAGACCAGTGGTTCCCAAAGTGGGGAACAGGCCCCTTCTAGCAGTTTTAGTGACCCGTACATAAATCTGACGGCGCATACAAATCCGAAAGAATGCCTTCTCTTTAAATTTGAAAGAAAATAAACTCACTGAGCTGGTCAGACTTGCCCTTCAGTAGATAAATACCAAAAAAGGAAACGGTGCTGGAGGACAGGAGAGTATTCAATAGAAAAGTCAACCTGCCGATCTGCACATTATACATGCGTTATCAACACAGACCAACGACGCAGATAACAAACATGTTTGATTGGTTCTTTTGGTTTAAGATCCTACCAATAAGCTTGTTTCGTACATTCGATGCACATAAACAGCTCCCTGATTTCTCAGCAGTGCAGAAGCTGTTTTTTAAATTTTATTTGAGTGAAATATGTTCCATGTTTCCTTACCTACTGCATTTTTTTCTTTTGTAACTTCCTGCTAATATTTTTTTTCAGGCATTTATATATATATATAATTAATTATATACATTTTTAGTTTTTGTAATATCTGAAGCCTATATGTAACGTCTCTACGATGTTGAATCCATGAGACTATATATATAGACTATAGTGGTTAATGTGCCCATAAATTTAACCAGAGTTGTTTGGCGATGTCCCCTGTGAGTACATGTTGATATAAGCATGCAGCATGTTCTATACCCTGCTCCAATAGTATTCACTTTATTTAACTATACATACATGTTCAGTTTACTTCAGTAGGAATACAGTTTTGAAATTTTGAATACTACTAATACAACTAATAATAAAGGTTTTGAAATTCAGTTGTCTGTTTTTGTTATTAATTAGAGTGACAGCGCCAAAGAAAGGTATTAGACATTGAAGAAAAAATATTACTGGAATGGCATAACTAATGTTTTTGCATTTAAGATCAGTTCTATTGAGACAAAAAAATAACTCATGCATATTTTTAAATAGCAAACTAATAATATGCTTACATTACATGAATAAATTAGGATTATGTTCATTTATTGCTCAATTCTTGTTTGTTGTACATGACTCAAAAAGAATTCTAATGACTGTTAGATTTAATTCATTGACAATGAGGTCAATCCAACCAGCAGCGCTTATATCCTCAGCTATTGCGCATGCGCCACCCACCTGATGCGGAAATGTCCTGACTGTTGAGACGTTAACTAGCGTGCTCACAGGAAATCCTCTGGCAAACTTCATAGTGAGGTAAGTAAATCATACATCTTTAAATAAATGTATTTAGGTCAGTAGTGTGAGTGATAGTCGTTTGTCAGAAATATCTGAATCTTTTTTTCTTTCGACTTTGAATTTGTGTGTTTCCTGTTTTGAAAAAAGGGGGGGAGTTTGCGACTTTAAGCAAAGTAGCACGCGTAAACAGCATAAATACCGGAACTGATGTGGTGGGTGGGGACGTTTCAGGCGAGGTTTGGTGTTAGCACATAGCTAACACAGCTAGCGCCCCCGCCTACCCGCAGCGAGCCACCGAACTGAATTGTAGTTGTTTTGAGATGCTCTGCTTGGTAAAATTGCTGTTTTTGCCAGTGGACTTCGGTGTCTTTGAGATGTACAATATTGTTCTTTTTCTGTAACACCCCAATTTAATTTATCAATGCAAAATTATGTATTTGGAATATTATTTTTATTACTGTTTTTCTTGTCATTTGTGCTTTGTTATGACTATCAGTCTTCACTTTTCAGTGTATGTAGATAAATACACATTCATTTTTCCCTGCACCTCCTTTTCAATACATGGTAACTTTATATAGTTTACAGATTGTTTTTCGATATGGTGAGCATTATGTATAAAATAAATAGTCTTTAGAGAATAGAGAAGCTGAAAAGAGAGCATTATGTATAAAATAAATAGTCTTCTCGCTGTTGAGAAGCTGAAAAGAAACCTTTATGTTTATTTTTTTGGCAAATTATTCTACATTTGAATATTAAACCCTGTATAACAGAAGTGCCCACATTTTGCAGGACTGTTTGCAAACTGTTTAATTTCCCATGTATTTCCACAACATGGCACGGTGATGATGGTTTAGATGTGGTTCTATACAATCTTTGGTGCAGGAATTCAACATGTCCTTATTCTTTTGGAAGTTTTGAAGTCTCTCCAACATGCGTTGCTGTTAATGACATAATCTCAATGTACCTGATCTTTACCATGCTTATATTTGCTTAGCTTGATCTCTTAGCTATGAATCATCCTTCAGAAGAGGTGGTTTCAGTTACTTCACTATTGATTTTCTTTCTTGGTGGGATGAAGGAAGTTATTGAGCACAGTCGGTTGGTGCTAATAAGTTTAGCACGGGATGGTTAAAGGGAGAAAGCTGGGCTGAACAGGGATTTTGCCAATTGCTTAAAGGTTAGAGCAAAAAAAAAAGTTAATTATTTTGAAAACTGCTGTCCTTTATATCTGATTCAGTAATTTGATTAAATGCTTAAGTTAGCGATAAAAACACTAACTAATACAAGATTGACATGAGTTTTACAGACAAGTTACATTAGTACATTCAACAAGATTACAACATAATTATGTTAAGTGGGGCCGTGGTGGATTAGTGGTTAAGGAAGCGGACTTGGGTCTGGAAGGCTCCTGGATCGAGTCCACTCAGTTACCACTGAGGTGGCACCGTCCCCACACACTGCTCCCCGGGCGCTCAAACCTGCCCACTGTTCACTTTGGTGATGAGTTAAAAGCAGAGGTCACATTTGGTTGTGTTCCTTACTTCCTGACAAGTAGTTCACTTTCCTTCCTTACCATTGGTGTAACAGATATACACATATGTTCATGTAACTAGTCTGATGTTTGTTATACAAAGTGTTAAATCAAAGTCAAATTAACTTAAATTAATTCAATTACAGTACAAAACATTTTATGCCAATAAAAGCCAATTCATTGAATGGAAATGTTAATATTATGTTACACTTACAAAGATGTTTGAAATAATATAACCAAAATAGATTGATTTAACATGGTTTATTTAGATGTGGCAAAACAAAATTAGGTGCATCCCATGAATTTTTTTTGAGTCATCAAATAGTTTACAATTATTTATTTTAAGGCCTAAAACATAATGTTTGTATTGTTTTTTCCAAGATCATTGCCTGTAAACCTGTTTCAGAATGTCTCTTTCTTAAACCATGATTGTGTCTATAAAACACTGAAAAACAAATGATTTATTCACTGTTTTGTATTGCAGAAGAGTAATGTCACTTCAGTTCTTTACCCACTTTCCTTCCAAAAAGATATTGTGTTCTCAAGGGGTACTGGTGGTTACAGGCATCCATCTTGGAAAGAAAGACCATATTATCTGAATATAATGTGTAGTTTTTAAGTTTTGCAGTTAATGGTATAGGAATAGAGTGATAAATCATTTTGGATGTTGCAAGAGCTGAATTTACTTCATCAAAACATTTATTTAATGTAAATAGATTGTGTTGCTGTAACTCAACTGTTTAAATTACTGCCAAAGCAAAACATCTGTGTGCAACCAATGTCCACTGTTGAATTAAGTTAATCCAACACTTGCGGTGTAGATGATAAATATTTTATGTAAAATGGTAGGTCACTGCAGACATCCAGCTGTTCTTCTCCTGATTATAGTTCACCACAGCAGTCAAGGTCACTGAGATGTCTGAACTTGTTTTTTTTCTTTTTCAAAAAGAAAAGGCTTTCTGCAGCTTCAGAACGAGATTTCAAGTGCTGTACACAATGCCTTCCCCACATAAGGAATACAAGTAAGGAAGTTACTTTTATATACACTTCATCAAAGCAGAAATAACATGACACGTTTTTTCTCCATTTGTTTCATATTTACACAAGCGGCACTAGCAAAAATGACTTAACGAACAGGCACAGTTTAACCACCCTAGTTTTGTTTGGCAACAAAATATAATATCCACTATGGCCACCTGGGGGCGACATTGAATTGTTTTCATTTTGTAAACCGGCTGACGGCTCTATTTTCAACAGGGTTTCCTACTACAATACGTTATTTAGACAATTATATTCAGTTACACTTTTTATGCTTTACTCAGTCTTTCTCTGCACTCTCCTAAATAAAATTCCCACTTTCCAAGGAAATGTGGTGGAAATCTTGTCAGATTTCTAAAAGCAAACCTATAAATCTGGTATTGTTAAACAAATACAACTAAGTGAAGTAAACATTTAAAGTATTTCTCTGCCAGTGTGCCTGATAAATGAATGTAATATGGATTAAAGATTTTGTCGTTTTTAGAAATTGTGCTGACTTAGTTGTTAGATAGGAAATGCACTACATTTGTGTTACTCAAGTTCCTCGGTACATATCACGAGATGTTTGGTGTTCTCCCCATCAAAATAAATTGTCAGTGCAGTGCAGTGAAATACCGCATACCCATTTGTTACCTCGTAATGGCAACGGGTGCAGCTTTATTTACAAACATAACCATAACCAACTGTTAGTGGCGATTTATTTTACATGTATTTTTTCCTCTGATTCTCTAACTTTGTCAAAAAAAAAAAAAAAAAACGTGTAATAAAATTAAATCGCGGCTCGGTTGAAAGAAATACGACCACTTTTTCTTATGACGCTCATGGTGTTGCATGTGGTTACATCGGGGTGGGGGTTATTGTTAGCTTCCACCCTGTGCCACCCCCATGATCCTACGCTGATGGGGTAGCTGAAGATAAACACAGCCCCGTATTCCGTGTACTGTATTTATCAAGTTGTAGGCAATTTTTTTGCATCCCATCTTAAACACGCCAGTGTTTGCCCTGCATCTTTCATCTCTTCCACTCTATAGTAGTTCGTGGCAGCTTAGTCACAACATTGTCTTCGTCGAAACAATCAATCAGTGGAATTGGCAGCAGTCCTGTTGTTTTGCTTTACTGGGGTCTGATTGTACAGACGGCTTCCGTCACAACTGCGTCAGCGGTGAGCTCAGAGTTGGGGGGGGGAGGGAGGGGGAAGGCAAGAGGTGAGGAATAGGAGAGAGAGAGAAGGGTGTTGCCGCCTGTGAGACACACTCACGCATCGCGGAGTAACAGCAGCAGGGTGAGAACAGAACGTTCCACTGTGAGAGATAAGCGTCGCTTTTTGAATTATTAACGCCGCACAGAAAGGTTTTTCATTATTAAGATTTGTCATAGCACAGTGACTGCGGGGGCGCACTACATCTGTACACCGGGGGGGACAGCGACAAAGAGCGGCCTGAAACAGACGGAAGGACCGACGCTGCGTTTCAGCACCTTGGACAGCGACCATGGCTCCAGTGCTGGAGGACGCAGCTGGCCATGGTGAGTTCTCCCCACACCCAGAGCTACCCTCCCTCACTGACCTGAACTTAGGGATTTTAACTTAAGTTAATAACAGAACAACAAACTGCGTGTTTATATGCCGTGTTCTATAATATATATATATATTTAATAATGTATCCACTCCCCATTAAGATCCCTGCTTATTGTCTTCATAAAGAAGCATTAACTGTATGACTGAATGTAGGGACAGAGAGTTTCCTTATTATGCATGTTGTCAGGTCAGTTCCTTATTCTGCTAAAAATGGTACAACGTATTGTGAATTATTGTGTGATAAGAAAGCCGCTGCTTCATCGTCGATCTCCTGTTGTCACATCCAACGGTTTTTTATGTTGTAGCCGTGTTGCCTATGAAAACAAAGGGCACAGTGCTTAAAATATTAATGCAAAGGGGAAAAAGAAAATAAACAGGCAGGGCTGTATGAGTAATCTAAATTGAAATCACTAGCCGACTGCGCCTTCTTGGCGCTTGCCAGTGCATGAGCCTGATTTGTAAACATCATGTTAAATCGGTGGAGTATTAAATATCAGCCTAGAATATGAACTATGTATCAACTCAATTAATTACTTATAGGTAAAGAATATAACCATAAATCTTTGGGTAATTTTGAAAAAAAATGATTTTAACCAAGACTATAACATTTTATAGAATATATTTTCATATTGGTAAAATATTCCATGATGTTTTAACTTGTAAAAACTGACTGGTTAAATTAGAACAAGCTAAATGTGGAGAAACTGTGTGATATACAATTACATACATGAGGGTAACACACCCATCCCAACCCACACCCAGCCTTTTTTTTTTTTCCATTCTTCTCTCTTTCACGCTGTCTCTCTTGCCCCCATCCCCTCGCCTTTCTCGCCTGTACTGCTTTCTTACATTACCATGTTCCCATAGTGGGATGTTATTCCAGATGTATGTTCAATCTCCAATGGGCTTGGACTCTTATTAATTGAAAAATGTAACTTAAGGGGTTTATATGTAAAACATATAAACCCCTAAAGTAAAAATGTTTGGCCATATCATTAGTGTTGGGAATTCTAAGGGATGTCCACAGATTTTGGGCTGTATTCCAGAAACAGACAGATGGAATTTTAAGAGGAAGTACCCTGCCTTTTTTTGTCTTAGAATTATTATCGAACTGTAACTTCTGATTTTTGACATGTGTCTTTGTTTGGTATCATCAAATCATCATATACCCCTTTATATGGCATGTCAGCAAACATCACTCATTAAAAGTAAAGGTCAGTAAAGATGTTGGTGACAATTCTGTCCCAAAATCTTAGGGAAAAATTTGAGGAAAATTTCAATAATGCAATATTCATGTCATACCTATAGCTCTAGGGGAAAAAAAGAGCAGAAAACACATTAATTTGTATTATACGTTACTAACTTTACTGGGGCTTATGCAGGGATGTAAAGTGTGACATTTACTCAACACTCCTATTCTTTGTCTTGCCATTTTGGTTCTGTTCCACAGTGGCAGTGCCTGCAGGCGTAGCTGCAGTGAGTGTCTTTGGCCTTGTTTTCACTGTGTCGGCCTTTGCATGGATCTGTTGCCAACGTAAAAACACCAAATCCCAAAAGACACCTCCCTACAAGTTTGTGCACATGCTCAAGGGGGTTGACATCTACCCAGAGAGCCTCAGTGGCAAGAAGAAGTTTGCTGCATCTGTCAACTCCACGTCAAATGAAGCCTCTAAAACCGACATCAACGGAAACTGCAACACCACGCCACCGTTGAGCCCGGGTGGTACAAATAAAATGGCACTAAGTCCAACAAATGGGTCAAGACAGGCACTGCATTTGGATCTGGAGAAACGGGATCTGAATGGTAACATCACCACCAAGCCGTTTCACCATCACCACCAGAAAGTGCGAAGCTCCCCAGAACTAGAGTTGCCATCACCTCACGCAGGGTTCTCCCAACCTGCTTCAGTGGACCTGACTTCTCCATCTAGCACTGTCTCCAGCCAAGCACCCACCCCAGCGGTGGACAAGCCCCACGGAGAGGAGAAGGACGGGGGTCTGGGGACACTGCACTTCTCCCTGGAGTACCAGCCAGAGAAAAAGGCCTTCATTGTCCATATCAAGGTTTGCTTTTTGTTTATTCCCAAACTGTACTTTCTTTGGTGCAAGTCCATGTTCAGTATTAGTAATTTTTTTTTTTCATTCAGGAAGCCCATGGTCTGGCCCCAACTGATGAACAGTCAATGACCTCTGATCCCTACATCAAGTTGACCCTGCTGCCAGAGAAAAAACACAGGGTGAAGACCAGAGTCCTGAGGAAGACTCTGGACCCTGCCTTTGACGAGACTTTCAGCTTTTATGGGATCCCACTGGCCCGAGTGTCAGAGCTGGCTCTTCACTTCATGGTGCTGAGCTTTGACAGGTTCTCCCGCGATGAGGTCATTGGAGAGACGCTCGTCCCGTTGTCTGGGATTGACTTGACAGAAGGACGTGTCTTGATGAGCCGAGAGATTATCAGGAGGAACGTGAAGGTAAGTTTCTTTGTGTTATTTTGAAAAAAAAACAACAAAAAACAAAAAAACGTTTTTTTACAACAACTTTAGGAAAATAGGAAAACAAAAGCCATTGGAGACACTGAATCTCTCTCTTAAGCAATTTATAGATTATTCAAAAATAAGTATAAAACTAGAAATATGATTCCCCAAAAATGAAAAGGTTTTCAGTACAGATTTAGAAAATTATTTTCTGAGTCTGTACTAAAAAATAATTTTTATTTCATAAATTAAACAGACCTTCATCAAAAAATACAGAATACTTTTATCATACATATATATAAAATCAAAGAAATGTTCAGTTGTGCAGTAGGTTGCTGATACCATGGTTAGAACTGAGTGGACTACAGTGGTTATTTTTAATTTTGAATTAAACACAGGATACAAGTTATTACACAGCTGGCATCAGCTCTGAATGGGATCAAATTTATCTGTTTTTGTCGGTTATTAAGCGTGTTTTTTTTTCTTTCCATCCAAGCATGGAGGGAGAGAGACAACGAGTCATAAAATTCCAAATAAAAAAAAGGGACAGGCTCACTTGAATTTACTCCCTTGAGTTATTATCAACATAACCTGGTAGACTCCATTGCCAACATGATTTATGAAGAACACGGCATACTTGTATTTTGATACACAAGGCATTTCTGTTATAAACTAAAAGCCCTTGTGAAAGATGATATTTTCATCCTCTTCTAGGCATGCATTTATACAGTAGCTTCATTGGTCGCTGTTCGACCATTAGTTCATTTTCAAACAGGAATGTGAGAAGATATCAATATGAATGTAGATTTGGGGGCCGATATGGGTTTTGCACAGCTTTGTGCCTACATGGTGCAAGTGGATACTGTACGTTCCCGCACATTTGTACCTTCCCTGAAGAAACATGAGATATTGATCATATATATGCAGACCTTTGAGTGGATATGCTTCATATCAACTCGAGATGTGCTGAGAAACATGCCGTTTCTCAAAAGGGGTAGAAATGGTTTATTTCTTCTCTTGAGCTCTAACTTTGGATTTTATCAGAGGGGCATTTACAATAAATAGAAAATGAATCTGTTTTACTGGTTGTGCCCAGATTTAGAGAAGCCATATTGCATTGCATTCTTTCTCTTTCTTCAATTTCCTATTTTGGTCACAGGAAGGAAAAATTCAACAAATCTCAGCTGGAATCTGAGTTTTACCCTTAACTAGTTTGCGCATATGAAAAAAAACAAGGTTGACATCTTTGGCATGCATGCATGCTATTGGAAAAACACAGAGGTTTAGTTTGCATGATGCTTTAATTATCCCACATTACAGAGACAGTTTTTGCTCTGACCGCACCTCAAAAAGACAGGGTGTTGGCTTTCTTTGTCTACGAGCCATGTGAAGCACGTGACGTCTGAGTGAGGCTTTATGGGTGATAACCAGGGTGTTTACTGATCAACTGCTACTCAGATTGAATCCTGGACTTTGATAAGATTTTTGATAACTATGAATAAGTGTCTGTTGTTTATATTGTTAATGTTTATGCAATGTAAGACATGTTTTATAAAAAGTTTGTGTTGCCATTGTTTGCAGACGTCACTGTGCCAGCTGTAAGGCACCTGTGATGCCAACAGTGATGCTGCAGGTTTTGGTGATTTCGGTGATTTAAAGCCACACGTTGTACACAATGTAGTTTTGTTCTGTGACCAAGAGTACCGTTGGACGAGAAGGTGCCAACGCTGGCTTGTAACAACTCTAGACTACCACATTCAGACCAGTGCCCACATTGTACACATTGTATGCTGCTGATGTAACTCCACATGGAATCAAAGCCACTTGAACGTTTTGACTTTGTATAGATCAGTGGTTCTTAACCTGGGTTCCCTCCCCCCCGGTTCACTACCTCCAACAAGGTTAAGAACCACTGGTATAGATGATGAGTAATGAATAGCAGTAATAGTGCAGTAACACTAAACAGGTTATCATGGATTGGATTACTAACCTGTGGAATCCACGACCTTAACCCGTCTTTCTCCTCCTGTCCAACAGAAGTGTTCAGGCCGAGGTGAGTTGCTGCTTTCCCTGTGTTACCAGTCCACCACTAACACCCTGACTGTGGTCGTCCTCAAGGCTCGCCATCTGCCTAAGACTGAAAACAATGGACCCACAGGTGATTACACTTCAGCGATCCTATAAAAACAGAAATCCTATGACATCCATTTTGCAGTAATATTTGGCTCCATTCTTATTCTAAACGACTGAGATAGCTGTGGTGTTTTTTTATGACAACCGCCATTTGTGCACCATTGATGTCTAAACTGATCTGACTGAGGTATAACATGTCAAACTGCTTCATCTGATCTTACTTTCTTCATTTTCCCTTGACGTTCTCTTCCAGATCCATATGTCAAGGTGAACATGTTCCATGGGAAAAAGCGTGTGTGCAAGAAGAAGACCCATGTGAAGAAATGCTCCCCCAACCCAGTCTTTAACGAGCTGTTTGTCTTTGATCTACCTTCTGACGAGGCCCTGAAAGACACCAGCGTGGAGCTGCTGCTGATGGACTCAGACTCGGGCAACTCTCGCAGTGCCAACATGGTCCTGGGGCGCCTGGTCCTGGGAACGTCTTCACCTGGAACTCCCGGTGAGCACTGGAGGGAGATCTGTGACCATCCGCGGCGCCAGATTGCAAAGTGGCACGCCATGTCTGAGGAATAGAACAGCTGACGTCTCCTCTGAGGTTCAACCAGGAGTGGGTGTGAAGGAAACAACATCTTCTAGCCAGTATCTGTTTGGTCTCTAAGTGAAGGTGGAAAAACCATAGTGAGCGGACTTCAATGTTGTGGCTCATCATACTGTCAATCGTGTAATTACTTATCTCTGAAGTTATCGGGTTTCACTAGAAAAGCAGGCATGACAAACTGAGCCCCGTACCTTTAAATGATCCCAAAGACTGTCACTGGAAATCACCGTGCAACATGCAACATCTCCATGGCAACAACTGATTGCCATGGTAACCATGTGCCGTGCTGAATGTGTTAAATGTCACGATTACGCTTCTTTTTCTACTTCTACTTCGACTTCTTGGCCTACTTCTTGGTTTCCTTCTTTTGTCTGTTTTTGTTTTCTCCTTTTTTAATTGTATTCTTTGTCATCTTCCTTTTTTTGTCCTTGTTTTTGTCTTTCCTCAACTCAGCTCTCTACTAATAGGAAACAATCCCATCCAATTAGAACAGGAATATCCATGTTAAAGACACTGTAAAGGTTGATTCTAAAATTTATTTTATAATGGCAATATTTCAATACTAACAAACTAGATTAAACTTTCTGTAGTTTTCCTGTTCATTTAGTTAGCACATTTTGTAAGTGGTTAGAGACAAATGTCATTTAGGGTTTAGTGCAACAGGGACTTGCATTTCTTTGTGAGCTCAGTTGGAATGGATTCTGTTCTGTGTGCAGGTGTGTGTGTGTGTGTGGGGGGGGGGCTTAGGTAGAGTGTGTGAGTGTGTGTGTGTGTGTATGTGAGTAAGATTGTGTGCATGTCAGCTCTGAAAAAACAACGAGAGCCACATAATGTTTACTGTAGGTGTTTTTCCCCTTACTGTGAGCACAAGACAGCTGAAATGTAAATGTATGTAACTTACTATAAAACCTGGCAAGTTCTAAGAAAAAGGATTTTGAGGTCTTTATTTCACTTGCGATGCAGGGTGTATTCCATACTATGTTAATATTCACAAGTGAAGTTATATTAACAAGCCACAAAATGCAACTCGGTCACTCACTCACTCGTTTTATCTTATCCTATCTCTTTATTCCTCTTTAATCTTTGCTGACCTTTGTGGATCTTGGGGATTTATTTGGTAGGTTTCACTGAGCGGCATTGCAAAAATGTATAATAAAATGCCCATGTGTGCAGTCTGAGTGACAGATGGGTTCGAACCCCATGTTTGTTTGCATTGGTGATGGACAGTGAGATCTCTGTGGACAATGATGTTTTACAGATTATAATTTGAGGAGAGAATACGGAGTAGGAAGAAGAGATACTGGAGAGTGGGAGAGAGGCCTGCATCGGACGAGGAAATCAGAGTAAGTAGGAAAAAAGCAATATATCCACATGTCAGAATGCATGTCAGAATAGATGTGTCGAAGTACCTCGAGATGCAGCCACAGTGAACTGCAATGGAGTGAGATTGATGGAGACGATTGTCAGAGATTTAGTAGAAAGAATGAAGAATAAGGGCAGACCTGCTCTAGTATAGTTTGTAGACAGTTGGCATCTACCTCTACATGTAAGAACTCAGAGCGATTCTGGAGGTTCTGGAGAAACCCTTAACTGAGAGATCGTTTGGATACGTGCTGTGAAGAAGTTGATCATGGCCAAAGGAGCATTTCCATGAAGGGGAAATATAAAAAACTAAAACAATACTTTTGCACCCATGGATGACATCATCAGTCTGTGTGCCAAATGTGATGATGCAACGGTTGCTAAAAAGCCAAGCGCTCAAGAATGAAATCATGGTGTCTGAATTTAATATCAGCTAATGGGCTCAGAGTCGGAGGAGCGCTGGCTCAGCATGACATGTCACTCTCTTTTGCCTCCGTTGTACAGATTCATCCAACGTGTCTTTTGACTGGAGTCCCCAACAACTTCATCTATTGACAAAGGATGTTCTGTCGTCGCGTAGACTCTCCATGGGTTTGACCTGCAAGGTCAGTACATTCTATTAGAACATTTAAATGTTGTTCTGTCAAGATCTATGAAATATCTGTTAGAAATCACATTTCCTTCATATTATATTATATTATATTATATTATATCATATCATATTATGCTGGGTAGAAAATCTATTCACCTAAAAGGTAAAGCATTCCCAAGCATGTTTGTTTTGCTATTGCTTAAACCAAAAAGTAAGCTAGTCCTATATTTTGACTAGAAAAAGTGAATCTGGTTCATCATTATTTACATTGGAAAGATATAAAATCTTATATTCAGAATACCTATTGTTTAGTAGGAAAAACTCAAGTGGAGTAACTCCAACTGGCTAACAATTTCTGCTTTAAATAACATGATTTAGAAATATCTTTACTCGAACGGGAATCTTTGTGGAGCATGAGATTTTTTGCTTTAAATTAAGGGGTTTTCTGTTGAGTGTTGAGACATTTGATTGGTTACAGATGAGAACCCTGTGGCCATTGTACTCAAGCGTAAAGGTTTTAGCCTGTTGGCAGCGTTACTGGTTTGACGCATGATGGTTAATTTAATAACAATAATGAAACATTTTAGGTAGTTCAGCCATTATCATTTTTTTTCTTTTGTCTTTTTTAACTGATAATAATAATAATTTGGACAATCGTTTGTAACCACATCTCTTGCCTTTACCTCCACTTGCGACTATAAACCATACCTTCCTAACTCAAAACAACAATGACCGGCCAGACCTGCCTCATAACATATGCATTCAGAATATATTCCATAATCCATATATTACGTCATAAAAATGATTGGAGACTGAAATACAAAACCTTGTCGCTCCTCTACATAAATTAGGACAATGTGTACAATGCTACAAAAAATAGTTTCCTTTCTAGAAAAAAAAGAGTGGTTTGATTTTGTTAAAGGGCCAAATTTTTTCCACTCCGTTAGTATGTCTGTGTGTCAGAGCAGCGTTTCCCAACCCTTTTTGAGCCACGGCACATATTTATCATCAGGAAAAACCAAGGGCACACCACCAAACAAACATCTCCAAAAACTCTACGTAATGAAATATATTAATCTTCCAGTTTAAATGACTTTATAATTGACTAAAATCTCAGCCTGTTTAGTTAAAGACAACGCTGATATACTGGCAGGAATTGAAGAAAGAGACTCACAAAGATCTTCTTCAACAGCTCTGATTATGTTTTGTTTAATTTTCATAGCAGAAGAGTATTTCATTTTTCTGCTTTTAATGCTTTGACTAGCTAAGAAAAACTATATGCAATAAATAAACAATAGTTTTCAGCCAAATTAAGTAAAATTGGATCATTTTCCACCGCACGCCTAGTGATCTCTCACTGTGGTTGGGAATCACTGTCTCAGAGTAACGTGTTCAGGATCTTGTATAAACACTTCAGAAATCCTGAACATCCCTTTAAGGTAATGAAAGCCATGCTATGAATTAATAAAGTCATAGTTATCATTTAGTGTGTTCATTCAAGGCTCCAGTGATCAAACGTGTGTACATGAGTGGCATGTCTAATGACTGATGCTTGGTATTACTGATGAAATAACACCCTGAAAGGATTCACTCAGATTCTGCGGGATAATAAACACACTAATAATTGCGAATGTATCGTCGTTAATCAAATGACTTTTTTTATTGGCAGTGAAATGGGTGTTCACCTCTTCAGATAACCTCTGGGAGAAAACATAATCACTGTGCTTTTATTAATGCATTAAAGCGCCACCATTTGTCTTTGTGTGTTTGCGAGCGCTCACTTTACTCTTATGAGAGAAACCAATACTTACTACTGCACTATCAACACATAGCAAACATGGCTGACAGATAAAAACCAGCAAAGACCTTGATTGATGTTGTGAACATTTAGTCTGGCAGTAAATTAAATCGAAGATGTATACTGTATAGCAGTGGTCTTCTACAGGGATTCCACAGGGTTCCATACAAGTTAGCCACCGTTAAAAATAAAATGCATGAAAAAGTTTTGATTGTAAGATTATAATGAAAATGTATTTTAGTAGACACAGTGAACCAGATGCCGAGCTTGCTGTGGTTTATGGTTGGGACTGTAGAGGGAAGGAATAGTAGCCCAGAGAATTGTAAAGAGGACTGACAGAGTACTGCCACAGGAAGTAAGATGATGAATGAGAGGGAGCCATTATGACTAGGGGAAAATGTGAGTCAGGATAGCAGTAAAATATGAATTACTGATGCTTGTCTTAGTTTGCTAACAGCCAGCAGTTTGGAATGAAGATATTTCAACTCTTTTCTGTCAATAAATGAATTCATATTATTTGTTTCTTCTCAGGGTTACAGGTTGTCAAGCAATCTAACAGTTCTCCGTACATTTACTCTGGGACAAAAGCACAGAAATAACAATCAGAGGCATCGAAATTTAGGTGTTTCAAAGACAGTGGCACTATTGCAGGAGCCAGTCCAATCTAGAACCAGGGATCTACAGCATGAGGTAAGTAAAAAAGAAATCTGTAAATCGCGTGTGTTTGCACTTTCTGTATTAAGCAGATATAAACATATCCATATGGCGTGAAGTATTTAATATTTAGGTTTCAGACAGTTATTTTCCAATGCAAAAAACACTGTGATGCCTTTTAGACCTGCAGTTGCTTGATTACCCTTTTTTTCAGTATCATCATTGTTTGTTAAAATTGTTGTCATCTTAGCGACCTCAGTAAAATGTGTCTCACTACGACATTTCCTTATTGACATAACATACAGTGCAGTGTTGGCACAGTATTAGCCTTTACTAACAGTGACAGTCGTTATTGTCTTCTCCTGTTAAAGACCTGCATGTATCCACTCTGAGCTCCGTCACCAGTGCACTGTGAGATGGAGGACATGAGTCATCATGTTCCATCATCATCCACAACGATCAACAGCCTCAACGTCTATGCAAAACATAACAGTACACACACATACAAATGACTTCATCTAATGGTGGCTGGAAGCTGCCTATTAGTCAGTGTGCCAGAGCACAGAGAAGCACATTAGTTAGAGGTGGAAACCATTAGATGAAATGTCTTGTTGTGTGTAATCTAAGCAGGTTCTGTAGCAGACAGGATCAGAGGAATGCAATTTACCAGTACTGGGCAGCCTTTCTGCAGAAACAAAGGTCTGCAGGTTTTTGGTTTCCCGCAGTTTCCCTGATTAACGACCCTGTGAGAAGGCATTACTGCAGGAGTGAATTGGTGAAATGAAAACTTCACATTCTGTGCATTTTCCGTCTACAGTACATTTATTAGCCCTCCAAGAAGACCAAAGAAAAACAGAAACTTGAAGCCAAATATTCCCAGTCTTCTTGCACTTGTTTTTTCCCAACATTCTACACCTATTAAGTAAGTTTATAATATTTTAAAGTGCTGGCAAATAAACTCATTTCAGAAAAAACGCATTAAAAAATATTAGCATCAGGGTAAGAACCAAAAAAAACGACTGATAAAAAATCTACTTTAGAATTGCTGCTATCTTACTAACAAAGGACATAGAGACTAGAACTGCACTGTACTTTCTGTTAGATAGACAGCTCTAGGTCAGACAGACAAATGTTGGAGAATTATGACACGTAGCACAAACACGGTTCTTTGACTTTGAAGTTGTATTTAACAGACAAAGACACTGTAGGGTATTTTAAGATGATCCTTTTACTAAGAAATCCTTTATCTGCCCCTCAGAATAAAAGGACATTGTTCCTTAGTTGATCATTTCAAAAAGAATGTTGATATATCCTGCATTCATCTCTTAGAATATGTTCCTAAATATAATAAAAATATCCATAGGTCATTTTTTATGCAATCCATAAGGAGTCGTTGGTCATTTGTAAAGCTCAAAAGTTTTTGTTTCCACCTCATAAGACAGTCTGGTGCAGCATGACCGATGAGAGACCAGGCAAATGGTCTATTTGTGTTTCCATAGCAACAGCACAAAGGGGAGGCAGGAGGTGCGCGTGTTCGACAGGGGCAACAGACGAGAGGGTGGGAAAACAAGAACCTGATGAGTTTATGAGGCCGAGCCGACTGTGAACCTTTAGACATCTGAAGACTGTATGTGCACTATTTCATGTCACAGGTGCAAACAGAAGGTTAAATACACACCCCGGTGATCTCTGGCATCAACATTACCTCTGCTGTCATGGCAACAGAGAGCTGTAGCGGATTCAAGCGTGATGGGTGGGATGAGTCCGAATCACCCAGAGAGAGAGAGAGAGAGAAAATAAGAGACGGAGAAATTGAGGGAGCGATGTAAGAAGGAAATGTTAGGCAGTAGGCAGAAAATTGATGGAGCAGAGAAAGAGAAGGAGGAAGCAGCGGTTGAGGGGGTGGATGAGTGGAACAGCTGCAGCAGTCTCACACTGTCAGCCTGCCAATGAGGCAGAGAAAACAAAATGGTGGCAGCAGGAGACAGTGGGAAGGAGTACTTGATACCAAACGGGCACACTTAAAGTGCTCATTTTATACTTTAAATAAACACAGCTCCGGGTTCTTTAAGACCAACTTGTTTCTGGGATCAGTTGGGTGTTTAGAAATGTTTCAAAATGAATAGAACACTACCATGTTTTAAGTTTTAAATAATGTAGGACATAATAACTCAATTGATATTGGTTGTGAAAGTAGAAAGAAAAAGACCTGACCAAACCAGAGCAGACCAGACGAGAATAAATGAGTCCAAACCAGAACAGTTAAGACAAGTTCAGACCAGAACATCTCTAACCAGAGTAGAACAGATATGGGAAGATGAGACTAGATGGAACCCCACCAGATTAGGCTAGACTAGATCAGTCCAGACCAGACATAACTGGATTAGGTTAACCTAACCAAGATTAGATCTGATCAGAGCAGATGGGACCAGAGCTAATGAGACAACCTTAAAGCCCACCAGATAGTGCTAGACCACATCAGTCCTAACCAGGAAGTCCTAACAGACTGGACCAGACAAGGGTTTTTTTGTTTTTTGTTTTTTTTTTACAATCTGTAAAGACTTTGAATGTTGTGTGGTTTGTAGTTCCTTCCTAAAGTCTCTTCATTGAGTAAAATATCTCAATCTCAACATACTTTTTCATTATTTTTGTTCTCTACCTGCTGGTGGCCTGTATCCGGCTGAGGAGCCAAACGTTTGGCCCCATTGTTTTAAATGGTTTAAAATAAAATACTGCAAATATTTTGACTCAAAGTTGTTCCTGTGAGTCTAACGACAGAAGGATGCTGTGTCCAGTGGTCTGTGGAGAGAAAGAGAAGGATCAAACCAGGATCAGATATAGTTTACCTTTCTTCAAGTACAGACGTGAGACTGCTGTTTGGTTTGACATCTCTCTCTCTCTCTCTCTCTTGCCCTTTTCCTTTATAACAGTGGTTCTCAAACTGTGGTACATGTGAAAATTCATATCTTCGCATTTACATTTTCAATTGAATAAATCTGAAACATACCATGCACAATTAATACAACATTTAAACCTAAACATCTTTCTAAACATCTCTCCTGTGGTGGAAGCTAACAGTGAAGGCCTCTGCTGCTGTATTCTAATGTTGGTCATCATGGTGGTACTCAGAGAGATCACTGTTTTCTCAGGTGGTACAGAGGAGAAAAAGTTGGAGAACCACTGCCTTAAAATATCCCCTGACCCTCAGGTATCTCCACCTCCCTCCATTTTTGTTTCCATTTTATTCTCCGTCACTGTGCAGTTCACAGATCACATCCTCTCTACTGCCTCACGACATCATTAAATAGATGGATCTCATATTACCAGCCGCGCTCATCAACCACCACGCTGCTCATCAAGTTCTCCTCGTGGTGTCATGAACAACCACACACCCAGTCATGTTTATATTTCCTTTCTGTAGCCATTTTAATTGAGTCATGTCTGATGCTCTTTATGTTCGCTTCATTTTTCCATTAGAATCCCAGGCTGGCGTTCGGGGAGGAGAATAAGAAATGACTCAGATTTGCAGAGCTCTGAATGGCATACCAAGTGCCACAACAAAGCTGAGAAGAGACACATCTTTTCTGATCTCAAGGTACACCTTGAGATGTACAGTTAAACACACTGCGATTTCTCACACATACTGGAAACTCTGTTTCTCTTATGGTAAGGTACAATTGTTGGTTCCATCTTAAATTTTGCTTCTGTGTCAATAGGAAGGAATTCAGAAGTTTTCAGCGTATAACAGCTGCGACGATTGGTATGTTTTGATTCCTTCTATGATGAGATGAAAACTGTTTAGACATTGTGTTAAAGTAACTTCATATCTCATTCTGTTTCAATGATTTTCTGCTTGTGTTGTTGGTTATCTTTGGAATCATAACCAGAGCTGTCAAAATGAATGTAAACAGTCTATAAACTTTAAACAAGTGTTAATGTATGGGCAGAATAACTCATCCAACTGCTTATTGCTGCTCAATGATTGGTGGAGGACATGTGTCAGACTGGTCACAGCAGGTCAAGGAAGGGGCAGCAAGCAGGGCTGACAAGTTGACTGACACAATTACAGGTTTCCATTTTGACTTGCTATTTGTTTTTCTGTTCCTGCAATAAACAGGAAAACATTTGTTTTAATCCAAAGATACCCTTAGGATTAATCATATTAAAATATAAATGTAGGGTGCCCTGCTCAGAGAGTTACCAGCCAGGTTACACCAACCAAAGAATGCAGTTTAGACTATGCACTCATGCCATTGCCTTCATGTCTTGGATTAAAGAAAGGAAACCTGGAGTTTTCTGGAGGGACACGTCCTATGACTCTGCCAAGACCCCTGAGACAAAGATCTGTTTAAGGCTTACTGAAGGGTCAGCTCTGCTTCTCTGAGTGTGCAGCCCTTATCCTGGAAGACAGAGGAGTCAGACACACACACACACACACACACACTGACTGACACATTGTGCATGTGTGAAGGTGCTGATACAGCATGTCAGAGGTGTTAAAATCCCAAATGTTCATTTCCATTTTCCCTAACATTTTGTCAAATCATCTAGACCACATTTCTCAGACTGACTTTCCTGATGCTGATGTGACTGAAGGTGTAAGACCTTAACTCTAAATCCTCTGGGTGCTGCCTATCGGGATGGTATTTAAATTGATGGGCAAAGCATCAGCTAGGACAGCACAGCTCAGACTAATGATTTTTCTCCATCGACTCCAGCCAAACCTGCATACCTCGAACACAGGAAGTGAACCACAAACATATGCGCACACAAATACACACACATCGACCTGATCATTACAGCTTAGCCTCTGTAATGAGTGTGTGTCTACTTCTGCCACTAGGGTTTAATTGTCTGGCCACAGGGAGGAGAAGAGAGTTATCGACCACCTTGACACAGCAGTGTCATTTATCAAAACCATGTGACACCCTTAGAGAGCAAAATGGTATGGTGTTTGCGTCATGTTGTGTTGAAATCTTTTTTTTTAGTCTGATTGAATTAGATGTCGTCCTAGTTTCAAATTGAATCTACTCAAGATACATGAGTAGATGACAAGTGAGGATAAAACGATTACAGATCACAGAAGGAGATACAATATGTTAATTTTAACACAATGGCCCTTTTTAAACAAATCTTGGCAATAATTGTGTTAGAAATATTAAGGCGTAGATGAAAATGAAAATTGATCAAACACAGAGGTTGGTTGATACTCATAGCAGATTCTCTGTCGAATCACTCACTGAAAAATATTGTTATACAGCCTGGGATCTCACAGCTGGTAAAAACACAAGCAACTGTTTACATTTGCTGACTATATGCAGACGGTGTGTTGGTAATGCAAATTATAAATAAATAATACTATATTAATATTTATTTTTATGAAAGATTACACGTCATCCGAACGCTACGGCTTAAGCCTTGAGATCGCTGTGTTTGAGGGTGCCATATAACAAAATGAAGACTATGCCGGATCTAGTTGTAACTCTGGACTTCTTCAGGTCTGCCCCCCGTAAGACTAACTTTAGATGTGCTGTACCACCTTGTATAAACTGTAAGTTCCTAAGCATAGTGCTGTGGAACACCAGTGTGTCATGAGAAAATTGATAGGCAGTACAGTTAAACACTTTTTCACTAGGTGGCAGCAGATGGCTATAAAAACGAGGGGGGGGGGGGCAGAATCATAGCTGTTAAACAAGATCTTTGTGTGTGGCTTTCTTTAATTCCTGTGAGTATATCAGGGTTGTGTTCAACCAAGCAGGCCTGGGTTTCACCCTTAGTAACTGTATTTTGATTAAAATTAATGAATTTAATTCTTATATTTTATTGTATATTCTTTTGTGACATTTGGTGATGTGCTATGGATTTAGCTCATGTCTAACAACTGTTGTGGCTCAAAAACGTTTGGAAAAACACAAAGTACTTTTTTCTGTAATACTTCTATATGACTTGTGTCTAAAACAGAATAATGTCAAAACCAATAATTTGAGCACCATTAGCACCACATTAAACATTCAAAACATCCTGTTCCCTTTGTTGTGACCTCATTTTAAACACACCTTTAATGTTAAGAAATTTTTATTTTTATCCAAACCACAAGCCTCACACTTAGTCACTGCAATGACACTCAGTTGAAATTTTATTCACCACAATAGAAAGTTGCTGCCACTGTCCAGACATTGTGCTGAAACAGAAATAGAGGAGGAGATTTTAATGGAACCATCACTGACAGGAAGTGATACACAGAGTAGAAGAGGAAGAATATAAAAGCATGAGGGGCTGTGACACTGTCTGTTAGGTTTATTCTAACATAAGTGACGACAAAGTAACAACACAAAGACGTCTGGATCTTTTTCTTGCAAGGGGAGAATGCAGCTTGCTCTTCTGGCAGCTTCCTCATCAACTCCGAGTTGCTGCACCCTTCCCCTGCTCTTTTATTTAGTTTACAAAAGTATCAGATAACATAACATTTGATTTAGTGTGAGTATATGGGGTAGGAAGCTGGATATGTAAATGGGTATGAATGGGGGTGTGACAAGGAAAAGATGGGAAGTAAGCAATTTGTTAAAGCGACAGTAATACACTGGAGTAAATATGGGAAGCAAGTGATTTGTTAAAGCGACAGTACCGCACGAAGCAATGATAATAAATGCAATTCTTTCAACACTGACAGGGACAGGGAAACTTACAACAGTTGGGTGTGACCTTGGGTACACATGACCTTTGTGGTGCCCTTCAGATTGTTGTCACATCAGAGAGGTTTCAGTATTTCAGTGCTGTTGTTGGCTCAGAGACGGGTTTGAACTGTTTATATCAAAGCTACATAATGTAGTTTTTGAACCAAATATGTATGTTGAACTATAATGCAGTGGGGGTAAAGTTTGATGAGGTAAACCAACTTGATCCCACCGGATCAATAATAAAGCACATCCCTGAGGGAATCATATAACCTTTTATTGGTGTTGTGTTCAAGGTCGTGGTCAAGAAAAAGACAAAGATGGAAACTGATCCACTCTGGTCTTTCCTCGTGAAGGGATTGCAGGGGGTTTGTCACACTGTAAGAAGAGAAATCGATCCAACCTTCATACATTTTCTTTGGCACAGGGTTGAGTCATAAAAGATCACTTGTTTTTAAATGTAGCCCTTGGCCTCTTTAAAGAGTTTTACTCCTCAGGTGTTAAAGTCACCGAGTTCCATTAATATTGACTCAATGGTTAAACCTTTGACAAATACAGTGCTTGTGTTAGTTAGTTAGCGAAGGCCAGAGAAATAGTTGACAAGGGGGGGTTTTGAATGACACACAAACATCCACCTGCAAAAACAAGACTTTGGAAGCCCTGCTGCTCAAGTAAGAAGAGAAAGAAAAGCTCTTTTCTGTAATGACATTCTGAATGTTGGTAAAGCTGAGCACTAAGCTTAGTACTATAGAGACAGAAATCACATTGTTATCGGATCTTACAGTGTTCCTACAACTGGAAATTAAGGGTGGATAAAATGGCATTTACCAAAAAAGTGTTTCTAATACTTTATATAATATTTACTACTCCCAATTTGACTGTTAAACCTAGATAATACAGGGAGTGCAGAATTATTAGGCAAGTTGTATTTTTGAGGATTCATTTTATTATTGAACAACAACCATGTTCTTAATGAACCCAAAAGACTCATTAATATCAAAGCTGAATATTTTTGGGAGTTGGAGTGGGGCTTTTTTAGTTTTAGCTATTTTAGGAGGATATCTGTGTGTGCAGGTGACTATTACTGTGCATAATTATTAGGCAACTTAACAAAAAACAAATATATACCCATTTCAATTATTTATTTTCACCAGGGAAACCAATATAACAGCTCAACATTCACAAATATACATTTCTGACATTCAAAAACAAATCAGTGACCAATATAGCCACCTTTCTTTGCAAGGACACTCAAAAGCCTGCCATCCATGGATTCTGTCAGTGTTTTGATCTGTTCACGATCAACATTGCGTGCAGCAGCAAACGCAGCAGCAGCAACCACAGCCTCCCAGACACTGTTCAGAGAGGTGTACTGTTTTCCCTCCGTGTAAATCTCACATTTGATGAGGAACCACAGGTTCTCTATGGGGTTCAGGTGAACAAGGAGGCCATGTCATTAGTTTTTCTTCTTTTAGGCCCTTTGCTGCCAGCCACGCTGTAGAGTACTTGTGTGATGGAGCATTGTCCTGCATGAAAATCATGTTTTTCTTGAAGGATGCGGACTTCTTCTTGTACCACTGCTTGAAGTGTCTTCAAGTGTGTCTTCCAGAAACTGGCAGTAGGACTGGGAGTTGAGCTTGACTCCATCCTCAACCCAAAAAGGCCCCACAAGCTCATCTTTGATGATACCAGCCCATACCAGTCCCCCACCTCCACCTTGCTGGCGTCTGAGTCGGACTGGAGCTCTCTGCCCTTTACCGATCCAGCCACGGGCCCATCCATCTG